AAAAAAATTATATACTTGAAACAGAAGAATATGGTTTTGAACTTTCTCCTAGGAGTTATGTCATCAGAGCTCTGTGTAATATCTGCACAGCCCTAAGTCCTAAATCCAGGACTGATTTCTCTCAATTCTTTGACTGATGATTCAGGATTTTCATAATTAGTATCAAAATTATGTATAAAGATGTATATTCTGAATTCAGGATAAAGGTTTAATTTTTTTAAAAGGAAACATAAAACCTTACAAAAACCTTGTAAGTATTAGCACTTACCACAGCTTGACTTGAGCTTTCTTGTAAATCCCACAGCAGGATATGGTTATCAGCTAAGGAAATGATTTTTTTCCCATCTCCCATTGGCTCCCATGTCACACTAAGAGAAAGAGACAGATCAGATACTATTATGATTCATTTGAGATACACAAACTTGTACCTAAGAGTTTATACACACCTTCTTCACAATCCTGAGGGGGTAGGCATTACAAAACACCACTCATCTGTCAGTTTGCCAGATTATTGTGTACTATGGCTTGCATGTTTACTGTGAAGCTGAGCTATGCTACTGGCATTTTAAATACCAGCAGGGTCACACTTGAAGGACAGGTTTCAGTGGAGCTTCCAGACTAAGACAGACTAGGAAAAAGGAATGGTGGACTACTTTTGAATACTTAGCTACTGAAAACCTTATCAACAGCAGTGGAACACTATTAGATATAGTAACAGAAAATGAAAACATTATGAATAGTAGCAGAACATTATTCGATATAGTGCCAGAAGATGAGACCCTCAAATAGGAAGACTTAATATGACTGGGGAAGAGCTGCCTCCCCAAAGTAGAGTGGACCATGATGATGTGAATGGAGCAAATCTCTCTGGACCTTCATTTGTTAATGGGGCACAAATCAAAATGAGGTGAAGCTGTGAATATTCATTAATAATCAGAACATGGAATGTAAGTATGAATACAGGAAAATCAAAGGTCATAAAAAATGAAATGAAAAGCACAAGCATGGATCTCCTGGGCATTAGTGAGCTGAAATGGACTGGTATTAACCACTTTGAATCTGACAATCAAATGGTTTACTACAACAAATTCAAGAGGAATGGCATCACATTCATCATAAAGAAGAGCATCTCAAGATCTATTCTGAAGTACAATGCTGAATGTGACAGGATAATATCCATACGCTTACAAGGAAGACCAGGAGCGCAGTGGCTAAAATAGGGTAAGCACTGGACTGTGAATCACAAGGTCGGCGGTTCCAGCACATCAGCCACTTCATGGGACAAAGATGAGACTTTCGTTCCCACAAAGCTTTAAAGCCTTGAAAACCCTATACAGGGTTGCTGTGAGTTGCAACAGATTTGACTGCATTTAACCACAGCAACACAAGGAAGACCACTTATTAGCAGTTATTCAATTTTACACACCAACCACTAAAGCCAATGATGATGAAATTGAAGAATTCTACCAAACATGCAATCAGATGTATTGAAAATTACTGATGATTGGAATGCAAAAGTTAGAAACAAAAAGGAAGAATCAGTATTTGGAAAATTGGGCCTAGGTGACAGAAATGATGTTTGACATCACATGTTAAATTTTGCAAGACAAATGATTTATTCATTGCATATATATTTTTTGAACAACATAAAAGATGACTATATACATGCACATGTCATACTTTGGACATATTGTCAAGAGGGACCGGTCTCTGGAGAAGGACATCATGTTTGGTCAGGTGGAGGGTCTGAGAAACACTGGACAGTATTTCTTTTTGTTGTGCATAGGGTTGCTATAAATCAGAACTGACTTGACAGTGCTGAACAACAACAGGCATTAGAAGTGTTTATTAAAATTATTATTTGATAATACTTGTGAACGTTGTGGTTATGTCACCAACATTCATTTTTACCCAAAATAATTAGTCTAAGTTGGTCATTCCAATACTATTCCCTTTGTCGGTGGCTGATTTAAGAGTGGACCTGTGACCCAATTCTCTCCAATGAGATATTATGGGAAGTCAGTTGAGAGGGTGGCAACTGGGAGTGCAGAGAGGATTGTTAAGGAGGCACATGAAGAGACATTCTCTTTGATCCTTTGTAGAATATGATTTGAGATAGGATGCTGTAGTGGGTTGAATGGTGGCTCCATAAAAAGATAGATGTTAGGTGTAATCGAGTTGGTACCGACTCATAATTACTGGTGATTGGAATGGCAAAGTTTGGATTATACACATAGTGACCTTATGCATAGCAGAACTTAACACTGCCCAATCCTGGGCCAACCTCATTATTGTTGCCACGCTTGAGTACACTGATGCTGCCACTTGGCCAATCCTGGGGGGTTTTCCTCTTTTTCTCTGACCCTCCACCTTATCAAACATGATATCCTTCTCTAGCAACTGGTCCATCCTGACAATATGTCCGAAGTATGAGAGACAAAGTTTGGCCATCTTGGCCTCCAAGGAGCACTTTGGCTGCACTTCCTCCCAAATGGATCTATTGGTTCTTTTGGCAGCCCATGGCACTTTCAATATTCTCCTCGAACACCATAACTCAAAAGCATCAATTCTTCTATGGTCTTCCTTATTCATATAAGATATGTTCACATCGAATCCCTGGAATCTGTGAAAGTTAACTTATTTGAAGAAAGGGTTTCTGCAGATGTTAAGGATCTCAAGACAGGATCATTCTGGATTATTCAGGTAAGCTCTAAATCCAATGACTGGTGTCCTTATAAAAGAAAAGGTAAAGAGTGATTTGAGATTGATGTTGTTGTTACTTGCTGTCGAGTGGGTTCAGACACATGGTGATCATGTACAAAAGAAGAAAAAAGGAAGAGAAGGAAACTGGAAACAGAGAGTAGAGTGATACACAGGAACATTTGGAGCTACCAAAAGCTAGAATGGATTCTTCAAAGGGAGAACAGCCTGGACAATAACTTGATTTCATATTTCCAGCCTCCATAACTGAGCGACAAGAAATTTGTTGTTTGAAGCTATCAAGTTTGTGGTAATTTGTTATAGCAGTCCTGCGTAACTAGTACAAATGCCTACATCTACTGTCACCATCTTGTTATCATTTTAGAGATAAAGCCAAAATATTAGAGAAGGTTATTGTTGTTTAATGTCATCGAGTAAGTTCTGAGTCACAGTGACCCTGCATAGGGTTTCTGAAGAGCAGTTTGTGGGTTTGAACCGTCGACCTTGTGGTTTACATTTTCAGTGCTGATTCTACAGTGCCACATCAGGAGTCCAGAGAAGATAGTAGGGGAGAACTAATAGAACACAGAATGGTAGATGAAACCCTGAAATACAAGGCTCAGAGTTTACCATATCTCTGGACACTTTCCTTAAGTTTTGGCAATTTGACAATTTCCTTAAGTTTTGGCCAATTTGAGTTAAAGATTTCCAGTACTCACAGCCAGAATAATCTGGTATAATGCCAATTTAAATAATTAAAAATCATATCATCTTTGTGGTACAATCATAAATAGATGAACTACTTTTCAGTGTGACCACAAATATGGATTTTGTCTTCCCTGAAGTAAATGTTAAAATGTGTATTAAGAGGAGAATTTCATTTCAAGTACTATAGAATTGAGTGACTGAGTATTATGGTCTAGAATTCATAGAATGTAGCAATAAAGAAATGTAATACTTCTTTTTCAAAATGAACATAATACATTGATTAGGCCATCCTCAGTGAACTTCCCTTAAACTATGTTTTTAAGATTTTAATGGAGCTATTATTATTTTAATCACAGAATTAATATAATTCAAAACCATAATTTTTTTTCTCATTTACAGTTTAAGGAATACACGTAAAACTCTGAAAAGAAGTATTTTGCACTATGATCACAGGCATGTTGCTCTTAATTACACAAAAAGTTCACTCTATGAGGGGACTTAAAAAAGTTTGTAGCAAATAGAATCAAAGGATAACTATTTTATTAAAATTGTGTTTCTCAACATAAGCTCCATCAAGTTCAAGACACTTCGATAAGCAACAATACCAACAATCTATCCACTCTTAAAGACATGAAGGTCCTGGGAATTCAACCATGTCAATGCTGTCTTTTTCATATTATTAACTGGAGTAAAATGGATGCCCATTAAAGATTTTTTTTAAGATCGGAAAACAAAAAGTCAGAAGGAACCTACTCCTTTTGAAACTCTTTCAAAATTGCTCAAATTTGATGAGAAGAATGATCAGAAGCATTGTTGTGGTGAAGAAAATCTCCTTGGACGTTTTTCTGGGCGTTTTTCTGTGAAAGCTTTGCCCAACTTTCTCAAAACACTCTCATAATCAGAAGAAGTTATTTTTCTTTGGCCTTTTAGAAATGCTTTGAGTATATCAAAAAACTGTTGTGATGACCTTTGCTCTCGATTGGTCTACTTTTGCTTAAACTGGACCACTTTCCATTCTTGGAAGCCATTATTTTGATTGTGCTTTGTCTTCAGGACTGTACTGATAAAGCCATATTTCAACTCCCTTTACAATTTTTCCAAGAAATGCTTAAGGATCTTGCCTCCATTTGTTTAAAATTACCACTGAAAGTTCTATTCATGTTTTTAGTTTATCTGGAAGCAATAGTTTGGCACCCATAGAGCAGAATGTTTGTTCAATTTAAACTTTTTAGTTAGAATTATGTAAGGTGAGTCAGTTGAGATGCCTATGATGTTGGCTAGTTAATCATGAGTATTCTTCAATTAGGGCACAAACAAGACTGCTTTCTGGCAAATTGATATGAATGATCTGTTGCTAAGGGCTTCATCTTCAATACTGTCTTGTCCCTCCTTAAAGCCAGTTATCTATTTGTAAATTACTTATTGCTTTGGGTCATTGTGCTCAAACTTTTTAAAGCATCAATGATTTCACCATTCTCCAACCCAAGTTTCACCATAATTTTGACGTTTGTTCTTGCTCCAATTTTAGCAGAATTCACATTGCTCTAACTGAGGTTCTTTTCAAAGTGATGTCTTACCCTTAGTGCCTCACACTAGATCCTGTTCAGATATGTTATAACAAGTTAGCACAAGTTTATTTTGGTAAAAAATTGATATGAATGCACAGATTTTTCAGATAACACATTTCCCATGAATTTAGAAGACCCCTTGTATCTTTTGTAATAACATTAGACAGTATATGATATCCAAGAAATATAAAAGGACATAAGTGGAAGAGGTCACAAAAGATCTGGTTTCTAAAGCATATGTTCCTATTTAGTTCTCAGTTTTTCATCTTGAAGATGTTTCTTTATATTAGGGTGATCAAACTTCTTTTTGGTAGCTTGTTTTATCACTTAAACTCATTTAGAGTTCAGACAATTTAACAATGAAAGTTAGGAAAGAAGGATATAAAACCCCA